AGTTCCTTAAATCTATTCTTCACTTCCACTATGTATTTATAAGGGATTTGGTTTAGTTTATACCTGACTAGCCCAGTGGTTTTTCCTATTTTCTCCATTACGCTTAGGCAAAGGTTCCTCTTGACATTTAGTCCGGTCATGTCTGACTCTAGGGTGTGGTACTCATCCCCATTTCCAACCCATAGAGCAAGCGTTTGTCCGTAGACAGTTTCCGTGGTCACGTGGCCAGCATGACTAGACACGAAATGCCATTACCTTCCCACGGTAAAGGTAAAGGTAAAGGTTCCCCTTGACAATTTTTGTCCAGTCGTGTTCGACTCTAGGGGGCGGTGCTCATCCCCATTTCCAAGCCATAGAGCCAGCGTTTGTCCGAAGACAATCTTCCGTGGTCACATGGCCAGTGCGAGTTAGACACGGAACGCTGTTACCTTCCCACCAAGGTTTTCCATTACACTTAGGTAAAGGTTCCTCTTGACATTTAGTCCGGTCGTATCTGACTCTAGAGTGTGGTACTCATCCCCGTTTCCAAGCCATAGAGCCAGCGTTTGTCCGAAGACAATCTTCCGTGGTCACATGGCCAGTGCGAGTTAGACACGGAACGCTGTTACCTTCCCACCAAGGTGGTCCCTATTAATCTCCTCGCATTTGCATTCTTTCAAACCGCTAGGTTGGCGGGAGCTGGGACAAGCGACGGGCGCTCACTCCGTCGCGTGGATTTGATCTTATGACTGCTCTTCTTCTGATGTTGCAGCACAGAGGCTTCTGTGGTTTAGCCCACAGTGCCATGGTTTCATTTCCATTACACCTGCACCACCATAAATCCACAACTAGATTCTAACCACTGTTTTAATGACATTTAAGCACATTGGCCAGTATCCTTTTGGTGTTTACATAAGAATTTGTGATTTGCCATGATGAATTGCTGCTAATTGATGAGGTGTAAGGTACATCTTAGTTGGATTTCTGATAACGTACCTCCTTGTGCCATCTAGACATACCCAAACTAATCTACCGTATTGCTGGCACTGAAGAGAAGTGAGTGGAAGCTAAACTCCCATTGAGCTTCAGGTTTTCCAGACTACTCTAACCACAGAGGTGCTAGGGAGGGCTCAGATGAGATTGCTGTGCACTATGTATTCTCTTGCACACACTATGCCATAGAACCATAGGGCAAAGCAAAAGATTTGTGTCATTACTTCGAGGGCCTTTTGGCATCCTGGAACAGACTTCTGTTTGTTCTTTCACTTTGCTTAGTTTATGAAATATTACTGAGATATGAGTATTCTTTTCCAGACTGTGTGACAGCCCTTTTGTGCAACTGTTGAGCAACTGGAAAGACTTTTCTTATTAAGTAGCATTTTGCATTTCTTTTTCTTTCTGATGTCACTTAGCTTAGTTAACTACAGTTTACTGAAATGTTGTTATACCATTAGGTAGAGATGGGCACAAACCACAGTTCGGCAGTTCAGCATGGCTCAACTGTTTGGCTACACAGCTGTTCTGCAGGCACCTTGGCTTCCCTTGCCCCACCTCCTTCAGTGAGTGCCCACTCAGAGGCAGTAGTGTGGCTTCCCAGCCCAGCTTCCTCCAGGTGTTGTCTCTGAGTGAGTGTCGGCAAGAGGAGGCAGGGCAAGGGTTGCCGGCATAATAGCTGTGCAATGAACCACCAAACCACTGGTTTCTGTGCATCTCTTAGGTTTGAGTAAGTGGATGATTGTGGAAAGATTATTGTTCCATGGGCTTCAATTGAATATGTTGTCTTATTAGGGCCATAGATACTGTTTTTCCTGTCCCTGCCATTATCTTCCTTCCTTCCTTCCTTCCTTCCTTCCTTCCAACTTTCTGAGGTAGTTATGCAAATACCAACCACTGTCATGTGGGAATTTGTCTGCAGTATTCAAATCTACCATGTCCCCAAAGTTAATTGTGCAGTGTCCCCCCAACCTTGTCCACTTGCATTCTTCCCTCCTTATTTGTTTGTTTGTTTTATATTATTTATGTGCCACCTTTCTCTCTATAGGGACCCAACGTGGCTCACAACAGGTTAAAAAAAGATTTAAAATCACTGTATAAATATATTTTAAAAACAACTGAGCACATATGAAGATGTTAAATATCAATTT